TTTTTTGCCTATAGCCATTGCCTGGAATTTGTCTGGATTTGCCTGCATGTGGTTGTCTGCGAACCAGTGTATTAGTGCGTCGCTGTCTGTCTGTAGTGAAGATTTGACTATGTCTAGTGAGGAGTGTGCTTTGCTGAGTTTTGTTGTCGTCGGCATAGTTGTACAGGTTGCTATGTTCTATGAAATGGAATATGTCGTTGATAAAAATGTTGAAAAGAATAGGGCCTAAAATTGATCCTTGGGGTACCCCCCTTGTATAAATTTTAAAATGTGCTAATGGTTTTGCCAAGTTTGACGCATTGTTTTCTATTACTTAAATAGTCTGAAAGTGAATTTGTTGCCGACTGATCTAAACCATAATTTTGGAGTTTGAGAAGAAGGTTGTGGGGCAACCAGTCAAAGGCCTTTAAGAGATCCATCAGTATGCAGGCTACATACTGATTTTGGTCTAGTGCCATCTTCCAGTCCTCGATGACTCTCAGTAATGCCGTTTGACACCCATATCCTGCTCTAAATGCAGAGAGATAAGGGTGAAAAACGTCATCAAAGAAGTCACTGAGTTGGGAACGTATGGATCTCTCAAAAATCTTGGAAAGTGCCGGGAGAATGCTGACGGGTCTGTAGTTGCCTTTGTCAATGTACTGTTTTTCTTGTGTATTGGTCTGACTTGTGCTGATTTTAGGTTGTCTGGAAAGGTGGAGGTGGGTATGGCGGTATTGACAAGTGTAGTAACTGGTTTAGTGATGGCAGGTTGTGCTAAACGTAATAATTTAGGCGATATGTTATCGTAGCCCGTTGCTTTCTTAGGGTTTATTTTGTTAAATTGTTTATGTATGAATTGTTCGTCTACTGGTTTAAATTTGAATTGACTCATTTGAGTGTTGTGTTTCTGGTTTTCTGTGATTTTTTGTAGATGCTGTTTGTACCTATTTCTTTTGCTACGTTAACAAAAAAGTTGTTAAAAATTTCTGCTACTTCTGTTTGCTCATTAACTATTTTCTCTTCATCTAGGACAATGTCAATTTGTTTTTGATTTCCTTTGTTGGTTATAAAAGGTTTAATTGTGTCCCAAAAGTTTTGCGTGTTTTGCCCCCCTGTACATTTGTCTATGAAATAGTGTCTAATTGATTGTTTTCTTAATTTAGTGACCTTATTTCTCTGTTTTCTATAATTTTCCCAGTTGTGGCCTGAACGGTTCGATGTGAATTTGTTGTGGAGCATTTTCTTGTGATATATTTCCTGTCGTAGTTTCTTGTTCATGAAGGATGCTTGATTTATTCGTGGTTTTCTCTTTTTCATTGGTGCGTGCTTGTCTATTATGCGTGTTATTGTGTTGCTGAATTGGTTGTAAGCCGTGTTTATGTTTTCGTGTTTGGCTATGTCGTCAAGTTTTTCATTATATGGGTCGTTATGAAAATTTTCGATATTAAAATGTTTAAAACTTCTGTACCACATCCATTCCTGTTTTTTCACAGTGATCTTACTCCGTAGTTGAACTGCAATAATATTATGTACATCGCTGACTCCTGTATCAAAGTTACAAATTTTACCTGTTAGATTTGTTTTTTTATCAAAATTACATCAAAAAGGCTAGGTTCTGTGTTTTTAGGATGACAGGTTGGGGCTTTCACAAGATTTGATAAGTCAAAAATATCACATACATTTTGTAATGGTTTGCCTTTATCAGATAACAAATCATAGTTGATTTCACCTATAACCATCAGATTGTCATATTTCGTGGTACAGCGGTCAAAAGTCTTACAAAAGTCTTCTGTGAATGTGTTTTCTCTCATGCTAGGAGGTCTATAGACTCCTTGAATTAACCATTTCAAATTATTTAATGATAGTTCAACTGAAATTGATTCTATGTCCTGAAAATCTATGTACTTTACCCGGTGTCCTGGTAAATCCGAACGTAGATATGCTGCAATTCCGCCGCCATGAGAATTTCTATCGGCTCTCCACAGGTGGTAGTTATTTACGCTAAATTGTGCATCAGGAAAGCTATCGTCTATTTTGGTTTCCGATAAGAATAGGAGATCAACTGTCTAGTTTGCTATATCACATATCAAATTTACTTCTACGGTTTCTTTTCATCTACTTTTCGTTTTCTGTTCTTGTTTCTACTAGCCTGTGATCATAACACTGTGACCGGTGGGTTGCTGTGAGTAAGAAATGGTACTTAAAAGATGGGGAAAAACTGGACATTGATTGTCTTTATCACTGTAGACGTCTTAAATGTGCGTGGACGCACAAAATCTTCGATTTAGTTTCATGTTTTGTAACTTTTTTATGGTTTCACATCGTCGTAATGTCGTGAATTTGGTTTGTGTTGTCACTGCTCTCATGTCCCAAAAAATATAAGAATGCGGAGGAAAATCACTCACGTGTGTTCAAGTTGAAAGAGATCGCGCCGAGACGCGTACGTTACATCGATGTTGTCGGCGCCCGAGCGGTCTAAGGGAGATAACTCTCCCAAAAATTCATCACACTCTTCCCCGTTTTATGAAGGCCCGGAAGCTGTCGTTGATGAATGGTTGATGAGGTGGTCATTTTTGGAGTAGCAGATCCTCTGGTGTTGTTCAAGATGCTGGAGATTATTGTTCTCTGGTGGAGTTGGACAAAGTCGGGTCAACCATTAAGCATAGGCGACCTCTAGCAGGAGCACTGTTTCACCGTTCCTTGTAGTGGAAGTTCAGGCCCATCCTTACTATATATAATTCTGATGGAGGGCTTAACTTAACAGTGCCCTCTTACATGACCGTTACAAATATAACCTTTCAGGCGGGGCAGTGATATACCGTGCCCACGCCAGGTATGTCGTCTGGATTACTATGCCTCTTTGGTTTCAAAAAGTGCTGACTGTGACGGGGTGTTGATAACACAATCCCAACCCTGAGCAGATAACCGCTCAAGGGGTCGATCCCTCACAGTTTCCGGAGATGGTTGAGCAGAAAACCACTCTGTCTCTAGATGTTGCCCGAGAGGCAGGGGACCGCCTCTTTCTGAACATCCATTTTTCAGCAGTCTTAAGTAGAGCTAATAATTAAAAGCTGTCTCCCAACTGTACAATGTGATCCCATTTACCTGGGTCACAAAAATACACAGAGATTTTTACTGTCCTTGCTCTAATTCCTAGATCTAAGAACACAGCAGTGCCGTGTAATTAATCTACTATGAAACTATTGACTGGTCACCCCCACACCAATCTAGGCAACTTTTGGGGTGCTCTTGTCTGCCTAGCTGTGCCGGTGAGTACCCCACCTGAGTGGGTTACAGCGCTCCCTGAGTCTTTTTTATATAGGTTTGTTTTCAAAACTATTTTTTTTAATATTTCTCCGAAAGAGTGCAAATTACCTATAGTGTAACCTTGCATTGGGAACGGTTTTGTCGATTCTTCAACCTCAACAAATCTTACACTTCTGTGCTCTTTTGGTCAGTATCTGCTGATCAGTGATGGGGCCATACAATCAATTTCTTTTCCTTTCCTTAAGGCTCTTAAACATTAACCAATGATTAATTGAGATAAAAAAAAATAGTGTTAGCATAAAAATAGTTTCACATACGATGTAGATTGCTCACAAAACAATTTCTGAGTCTGAAAGAAAGCATCTTCTGAGTTCAGACAGCAGGCCAAAATCTAACTTGTATGATGAAGTTTGCTGTGAAAAAATATAACTGGGAAAAAATAAACTAACTCACTGTACCCAAATCGGGACACTTTTAAGTTAAAAAAATAATGGCCTTTATACCATATACTATCAATTCCAAAAATATCTATTCATTTTTTTCATAAAAAGATACTATCCTCTTTTCATTTCTATTACAAGTTGGTATTTCGGGCGCGTGGTCCTATAAATAGAATGCGAAATGCTATAAGGGTTACGTAGGCCCTTGCACCGGCGTTACTGTACCATGAAAGGACACTTCGACGGCATTTTGGCTAATATTTTGGGATAAACTATCAATATCAGCGGAACAAATATGCATAGTTGAAATATTTTAGAGACATAGAGGGTTCTGATTAAATTTATTCTCCAAACTAGCATTAAATTTGATAAAATAGACTTTTGAAAATGATATCCAAATAAATAGCGTCGCACGGCACGTATTATTCTGATCTTTAAATTGTCCATCTAACGAAAACCAGCATCCAATAAAGGTTATATACCGTTAAATTGTCATAAAAGAATTATCAAATGATAACTGTACACATAAAAATACTTCTTTGCATTGCATGATAGTTTTTTATGCCGTTTTCCCATAAGTGTTCCGTTCTGGGTACTGTCCCGATTTAGTCTGCAATACGTTTTCTAGAAACTTTGTCATCTTTCTTCGGGAGTTTGATTGATGAGTTTATTTTTCAATTTGTCAGTGAATTTTTATTTTCAATTTTTTAAATACCAATAGATACGAACCCTCAATTGGATACTGCACGGTCACTTCAGTTCTCTTTCCAAATATGCGACGGGTAACGGCGATGTGGTCCTCTTGACGGGCCCCGTGTGCCTTTTCTTTTCAGTAAAATCTGTATCAGTGAAGCACTTTGTAAAGCACTCGACGCGCCAATATTCAAGTGTCTCGTGGATCCAGAAGCAGGCGATTCGGGAGGCGTGCTGTAGGCTATGTTCTTTGCTATCAAAAGATGGAAGTCAATAAAGAAATGCAGATTGGAATTAACGTCAGTCCAAATGCGGTAGCTGACCCAGAATTAAGTTTATATGCAGGTAATGTAATGAATCAGTGTAATGACAGGAAACATTTAAAGTCATGGTTTGTGTTTAATCAACTTGTCAACTTTTCTATTGTAATATCGATGACATATCCCGGGCGCTTGTTCTAGTAAGTCGTGTCAATGTGAACAAATGAAAGACTGATTTTAATTAGAATGTCACCATGGTAAAAATCCGAGAGAAAAATGTTTTTATTGTGTTTTGCATATATCTGCGAGAGTTCTCTCCCTTGTAACATAGTATGATGTTGACATTGACTGGAAGATAGCTATTCTAATAAAGGGAAGATAAGTAACTATTTTATAAGACCCTTTGCTTAGACTGTACAAATGATGTAACTTTAATCTTTTGTTGTTGCGATGCCTGGAATCTTGATGGACACCAGAAGCCTTATCACGGTAAGAATCAGTTGCGAAGCATTTTCAGCTAAAAAAATAGAATTGAAAAATAAATATAGACTACAAAAATTTGTCAGCAATAGTTTCATAGTTAAAATATTGCGTTGTAAGGTAAGAAGCCAGTGCAAACTATTGAAAAAGTTTGCCTCACTTTATTTTGCATTATACACAATTTTCCAAAAGTGACCATATTCAAATTTAATGAATTGTTATAAAATTGTTCTATCCTACATTCTCAACACCATGGCATTAGTTATTTACCATTCTGATCGGTTCTTAATCACACAGATGATTGAATCAAGTGGATCTTGCTTAGAAAATTAAAAATAAAATTATCTCAAGCTTGTTTAAGCCAGTGGGCCTACTATGTGTAGTACAATTGTCAATGTTTCAGTTAGAGATGATTTAAATCAACCTTCCATATTACAAAATCCTGGATCCACCCTTGTATTGTCATATTGGCAAATTGTACAACTTTACAATATTCCGTAGAGAAACATATTTAACCCTTCCACCCCTATGTAACTTTAATAAACTCTTCCATCAATTGATATGGATGAGTCTATTATGGTCGTAACATTGTTGAAAGGGTTAAATAACCATATTATTTTGTTAATTTTTCTAAAGTTTACAAGAAACACTTGAAGAGGGCCAGAAGACCAGCAACATTGATGTGCAGATGATGTGGCTGAACATCATCAGATGTCGACAGATTATCCAACAGTTGTCAGCGTCGGAGAATGACACGTTTTACTCGGTACTCAGTATAGAAAATGAGGATTTTAACTCATTCGCCCCTGAAGACACATTTGAACTCTTCTAATTCAAAGGTTGGAATAGTTCATTATGAAATTTCAGGGGTGAATGAGTTAAGGATATATGCTACCATACTGTTACATAAATATCTTTTACAGAAGATTCTCAAAGTTTTCCTACTACTAATTTCTTGGTGAAAGACTCTTGTTTTTTCACCCTTGGTTTTGACTTTAAAATCAACAGAATACCACATGCTTTCTTTTTGCTCAAATTCAGTTCATTCATTCCATGGTTTCAGCTTAAGTGGCTCTATTCAAGTTTTAAAAGAACATGTATACATGTATTAACTCATCCTAGTTAAAAGCAGACATCAATTTTTGGATATTGAAATATTTTTTCTATATATTTCAGAATTATTAAGTTTTCAAACCACCAAATGCAGGTGCTGTTATATTAAAGTTCAGGTCCTAGAGCTAAAAAATAAATAGAAAAATTTCAATTACCTTTTTCCTCTGATTCTTAATGTTTGTGAACATTTTCACTTTATTTCAAGATATCATATAAACAATGTATATCATAACTATTAACATACTGGGTAATCAGAAAAGTTCAATTTGTATACTGGTACACTATGTAATATAAAAAGAACTTGAACAAAAGAACCTTACATGATAATCACGTTTAATTGTAGGGTATTTTACTTCAACTTGAGACATCTTTGGCTTCCCATGTGGATGTTCTACAGAAGAAAATCTCCCAGCTGAACTCCGACATTCAGGCCGGACATGTAAAGTACCCAACAAGTCTACCCAGCTGTGGTGGGGATGCTGCATCTGCAGGGCGGCCAGAGACACAGAAACCTTCATGTGGTGCGTCAACTGGCATGCATAGGGGATGGAGGGATTGGGGTAGGGGTTGGGATGGGGTGGGGTGAGGAAGATGAAAGGAATTTTGGCAGGTTCACAGAAATCTATGTATTGAATGTTTCTTTTTGAAAGTGGCAAATCTAGAAGGTTTTTTTGGCTAAAAGAACCTTTTTCCTGCCTGGATTTTTTTCTTTAAAGACCTATGTTTGGAAACCACTTAAAAAAACTTCGGAGTCCCCCTCCCCATTTCTGTTTTCTTAATTATGAAAAATATGTGAATAGTCACAACTATTTTTGGAAGTACTCTTTCTGTTAGATTCCTTTGCATGCAGATTGAATTTTGAATTTTGATATTGTTAAAATCATACAAAAAGAAAGATCTGTTTTAAATAGTTGTTACGCAGATGAGGCTTTGAACAAGGGGCCCTGCTTTTAATTAGCTAAATGGTGAAGGAAGATGAGAGCCAAGAAACTTTTCAGGGGTTTGAGGACTCATACATGTTTACTTATATGATGAAAACACATGTAATTTTATATTTAAGTTACATGCTTTTTTGTATTACCTTGTCTATCCAACAGTAAGCCCATGTCTGTTACTGAGTCCACCCATATCTAAAACTGTTAATAAATATTCCAACAAATGGTTTTTATTGTCCTATATTAAGGCAAAAAGCCTACCTTGTCTTTTAGTCAAAAGTTATGTGTTTGGCCCCCTGTGCTGATTGTAGATGATTATGGTAAATGAATTTTGATGTTAGTGTTAACTTGTAAGGCTAAACCAGACTTATCTTACAACACCAGATATTGGGAAGTTTGTTGATTTACTCTATGTTTTGATGAAGATGACAGCCAGAAACAGCAACGGCGCATTGCCATTGAGGACACCATTATAACGAAGGGTGGTCTGACGTTCCAGGACATAGCTGGACTCCATGAAGCCAAGCAGGCTTTACGGGAAGCCATTATAATGCCACTTCACTTCCCCCACCTCTTCACAGGTCTGTTGATTGCATCATTAATTGTTTAATTTTGTTTTTACTAATATTACAGATAATGATTTAACAATTTAAAAAAATAAAACCTGACTAAATCAATTACCGGTAACTCACTTTGATATTAGACCAAGTAATGTTGTCCCCCATTATGTCAGTTAAGTTAAGTTTCACTGTATTGTACAACTTCTTTATATAATTCCCTTAAACCTTAAATAAAATGAGGAAAATTTTGAAAAAAATCGGTCAATCGGGTCTAAAAATAAGTTTTTTTTATCTTATCAAATACTGGTATGGTTTTTTTTCCATGTCAAAAGTGTTTTTTTAGTTTAGAAAATGATTTAACTATGCTTATATATAGCAGGATTTCTGACTTAAATGTGTATATCACTAAATGCCAATAAAAACTTGAAAAATCTAGGGTAAGTTTGGTTAGCAGAAACGCAACTTTTTTTTTTATTTGGTCTAACTCAAGTAGCATATACCATATGAAATGATATGTTATAATTGTATGTATTTTGTGTAGGTGCCATCAAGCCGTGGCGCCGTATACTTCTGTATGGACCTCCTGGTACCGGAAAGTCTCGCCTGGCCCAGGCCATTTCCTCGGAAATCAACTCCTCCTTCTACTGCGTGTCCAGCTCGGACCTTGTGTCCAGCTGGGTCGGAGAGAGTGAAAAGTAATCATAGGGTGGAAATTAAATTCCAGTTGCCCAAGTTTTCCATGGGATATAAAGAGGGAAAATAACTGAAAATCAACCAGAACTGCAAAATGATTCATTGTAAATTAATCATAAATTGTAATTGTGCATTTTGAGTTAACAGATGTTTTGAAGTGACTTAACTCATTCACCCCTGAAGACACTTTTGAAATCTTCCAATGCAAAGGTTTGAGTAGTCCATTATAACATTTCAGGGGTGAATGAGTTAAGGTATATGTGTTCATTGAACATTTAATGATGAAAATTTAGTCATGTTACAATAATAGTTCTCCATCAAATGGTGTTCGACACTCATGGTGAAAAGAAAGAGAATGCCATGTTATCAAAAAATGTTTTGATGCTACCATACTGTGACTTAGAGACTTAAGGCTGTATGCTACCTTTAATATTGTGATATGGAGACCTAAGGCTGTATGCTACCTCACTGTGACTTAGAGACTTAAGGCTGTATGCTACCTTTAATACTGTGATATGGAGACTTAAGGCTGTATGCTACCTTACTGTGACTTAGAGACTTAAGGCTGTATGCTACCTTTAATACTGTGACATGGAGACTTAAGGCTGTATGCTACCTTACTGTGACTTAGAGACTTAAGGCTGTATATATATATGCTACCTTTAATATTGTGATATGGAGACCTAAGGCTGTATGCTACCTTACTGTGACTAAGAGACTTAAGGCTGTATCCTACCTTTAATACTGTGATATGGAGACCTAAGGCTGTATGCTACCTTACAGTGACTTAGAGACTTAAGGCTGTATGCTACCTTTAATACTGTGATATGTGACGTAGAGACTAATAAAAATTATCAAAATATGTTATCTGACTATGACATGGGACTTAAGGATGTCTGCTACCTTACAAACTGAAGGGTATATGCTTAACTGTGTCATGCATCCCGTGCACACCATTTAGTTTTATCATGATAAACAAATATGTTATTTTGTTTTCAGATTGATAAAAGAACTTTTCCAGCATGCAACCACTCATGAAGGAAGATCAGTAAGTGCAACAAAATTAGTTATTTGTTTCCATTCTGTATTGGAACATTACAATAAAATGTCACATATATTTTTCATGGTAATAAAACATATGACACAATGACTATATGTAAATTTAGACAGATAGCAACAAAATGTTCAATTACAAATTTGGTCAACATAGGAAAAAATTACAGTACTTCAACTGTATGACTTAAGCCATATCTGGAATTATCTGTTCTTTTTTAAGGTGATATTTACGAAGACGAGATAGAATTAAGCCATATCTAGAGTTACCTGTCCGTTCTTTGTTGAGGTGATGTTCATAGACGAGATAGAATTAAGCCATATCTAGAGTTATCTGTTCTTTGTTGAGGTGATATTTATAGAAGAGATAGAATTAAGCCATATCTAGAGTTATCTGTCCTTTGCTGAGGTGATATTTATAGACGAGATAGAATTCAGCCATATCTAGAGTTTTCTGTCCTTTGTTGAGGTGATATTTATAGACGAGATAGACAGCATCAGCCGCCAGAGGAACTCTCGAGAGGAAGAACACACTAGACGTATAAAGACTGAACTCCTCAAACAGATGGAAGGGGCAGACAACTCTGACAAGGCTGATAAAATATTCCTTCTCTGTGCCACGAACTGTCCATGGGAGTTGGACTCTGCCTTTCTACGGAGATTTCAAAAGAGGATTTATATTCCACTGCCAGACAAGTATGTTAAAAGACACTAAATTGTTTATTATATGTCGGTTTATGTTGCTGATAAAAAGTGGTGGTATCCAACCTTATGTCAGTAGGGACCCAACTAATAAGGTTAACCCTTTCACCCCTATGTAACTTTAATAGACTCTATCGTGCATTGATCTGGACGAGTCCATTATGGTCTACAGTGGTGAAAGGGTTAACAGTTTGATGGAGAGTCCCCAAACCTGAGAGGGTATGTAAATTGGCTCTGTGGTTCGCTATAGTGAAGCGGAGGGTTACTCGCTACTTAGTGAGCTTGACTATGGCATGTCTTTTATCTCCCCTTGGCAAAACTTTTAAAATCAGTTGATTATCTCCCCTTAGAGAGGTTTGGTTAATTTATGAGCTGTTTCCCCATCATAAAACCTGTCCAACTAGTGTCTATTAGTGAGATTTGTCTGTCAATTTCAACTCCCCTTGATGGAGAGTTAATTTTCCAGTGTATCTATTACCTTACCTAAGTGGGACTTGTCTAACCTAGTACCTCCCCTTTAAGGATGACCTGACTATAGGTTGCAGTGTACATGTGCGGTAGAAATGACCTGATCCTAAAAATACATTGTACACATTGGTAGTCGATTCATCTTCACATTAATATAAATATTATTTTTTAGAAAAATGAGTTTTTTCATGGAGTGTTTTCCCCCAGATTTTAGACTTGTGGTTACCACATCAAAAAATGCAAAAAAATTAAAAAAAAATTAAACCCAAAAATTTGACCCCCATAAATAGATGTTTTCTTTTCTTAAAACATGTCTTATTTCAAATATCACCTACTCGATAACAGAAATACTCACGTTTAAGCATGTGTCAATCCGGTGGATTTTTTCACAATTTTTACACATGTGCCTAGTACAAAAATAAGACGACATGAAAAGCTAGCTTTTGTTGTGTAGACACAGATTTGTAAATGGCCAAAACTGTACTCTCAAACCAAATGGATTTTATTTTTCTTGAAAAAATATGAAGCCCACAAAGTCCATTCATCATGTACATGTATACACCAATTTTAGTGCTGATTTTTTTTATATTTTTTTTTTAGTTTGATGCATGTTATCTTACAGGAGTTATTCCTTGTACAAAAATATCACCCATTAATCACTGTACACTACTGTATACTGCTACCATAGTCCCTCTATCATCTTTACACAGGAAAAATTATTTGTATGTTTGTGTTGTCTCCCCTATTCAGACAGGCTCGTATAGAGCTAATGAAGATCCATACCAAGGGTAACAAGCTTGACTTTACCAAGGAAGAATGGCGAGTCCTGGGTGTCAATACAGAGGGCTACTCCGGCAGTGATATAGCCAATATGATGCTCGAGGCTCTTTTTAGGCCAATCAGGGATCTCCATACATCCAAGTTTTGGAAGCAACAACCAGGCAAGAATCTGATTCAAAAATATATGTTTATGACGCAACAACTAGATAAATGGTTAGGTTACTAATATTTATTGATTCCCATACATCAAAGTTTGGAAGCAATAACCTGGTATTAAAGGACTTTTTTATGCTTTGTAATTATCCATGTCAGAGACCTTCAGATGCGTAGAAAGTTTGAAAGTAACCAAATATATAACTCAGGATTTACCAAAAAAAATAACTACCCTGTGAAGACATATCACTATCAGTTTGACTAGATGCAAGATGGTTGTTGAGTTTTCTCCCTTGCACTACTGAGTTTGTAAAAGCTGAACAGCTCTCCCAAGGTGTAGTTTATTGTAAGAAGGCCTTTTTTCTAATAACAACTGATCAATTGAATCAAATAATTGCATCTAACAGGTGTAACTACTGGTATAGCATTTCGCACTGTGATTTTGTTAGTAAGCGGTTAATTATAATAAGTATTTGCTGGAATTTAGATTTTATCACGCAGTTTCTGACATAATTGGTCGGGAGCCTCAGTCTTTAGTGACAACAGTTATTTGGTAAAAGCCCTGTCATTTGTTTTTTCAGATGGTAGCTTTGTACCTGTTGATGAAGGAAGTGAAGGAGCTATGGAGGCTAGCATTACAGATTTACCACCCGACAAGGTAGGAAGACCATTTCTTTCATTTCCGTGTGTGTAAGATAGAGCTGTCCAGGGTGAAAAAGGGGTGTAGATTTTTTTTATCTTACACCCCATTTCACATAACGTGACGTCACAATGGCTCAACAATGGCTCAACAATGATGTAACGCCACAAATTTGGAAAACTCTAGACGCAGCAATGCGGAAAAGGCGTCGTGATGAAATTAAAATCTACTACAATATATTTACTGTACATGTTGGAAAGACGAGATAGTTTTTTCTGCGCAAACTCTGTTTGGAAATATGGGTATGCTTAATTTCGCTGACTGAGTCGTTTTTGTCCAAAAATCTAAGGGGGAAGTTGATATTTTCGAAATGGTAGCCAGCCCAAACATATTGTCATGGTTTCTGAGTTTATTCTGGTAGTTGGAATGAGAGAAAAATACTCTTTCATGCCCAAAGGTGTAGAATAGGGGAATTCCACCCGAGGGGTTTTCAAATTTGGCAAAACCCTTGGCAAATCCTCAAGTTTTACCAAATTTGAAATCCCTATCCTTCACCCCTGGGCATGAAAGAGTCTTACATTATTTATAAATGTATATGTATATAGTAGATGCAGCAGTGACCAGCTAATTTTCAGAAAAATCTATTTCTACCATTCTGCCTTTCCGATTTCTCTTGTTGAGAAACATACCATTTTATCAGGCTTTAGGTTTTCTCTAAACTCTCTAATTTGCTCTAATACAAATTAATGTTATATTAGTTTTCTTTTCCTTCATATTTTGCTCATTTACAAGGCCAGCAATTCTTTAAAGTGATAAGTTGGGCAAGGTTTTGACATACTGACCACTGTTTGTCATCATACCAACTAGCATATGTTTATCAGCCCTGCCATGATAAAGATGTGAAGGCGCAGATATTTTAAGGACACATATACCTCACTCAGACATGTACCTCCTTTCAAAAAGATTTCCACTCTGTGAATTGTGAAACCTGTAAAATATCTATAAATAGTATTTTGGATAAGGTAAATTAATGTAACATTTGGTATGCAAGCATACATATCTGAGTAAATTACTAGATTACTAGTGGGATATTAAGCCTGGTGACTAGCTGCCAGTGACCAGGGCCATTTTCGTTTATCGCGATCCAACTCGTTGAACCAAAGTTGCATGTTTATGAAATACGGTCGGACCTATAGTAACCTGATGCTGCTTTCATGCGAGTCTCGACAAAGTCTTGCAATGCCTGCATAAACATTTGCAGGTCCACTAGGATTTATATAGCCCAAATTGTTACTTTTAAAAACGGACAAACCGGTTGTTCTGCATAGCGTCTGTCTGGATTTTGGAGATCCAAGGTTCAAACTTGGTCTGGCCTAATTGCACTTTCCCGGTCCTGTTACACACATTGTATTATTTTATGTACGGTATGTTTCAGGTCATAACTAGGAACGTGGCATTGTCTGACTTTATGATGTCTGTGGAGACTCACAGGAAAACCGTTACTGCAAAGGAACTCAACAAATTTGAGGACTTCACTAAATTAATGGGGGAGAGTGGATAAGCTGTGTTTATAACTGGTCATCAATGTTCAGCAGACAAAGACTGTTACTTCAAGGAGCTCAACAAGTTCTTCGACTTCACTAAATTAATTTTGGAAAGTTGCTAACTGTTTTTAGAACTGGTCAACAATTTTCATCAGCCTTTTGTTATACATCCCGTATTGATGGTAGAGTTAAATGTTAAAGCTTGTTGTGTTGATACCTGGGTATATATGGGGTAATATCTCAGTGACTCTTGAGACTAATCTATTTAAGGATCCATGTCCCACTGGAAANCCCCCCCCCCCCCCCCCCCCCCCTTCAATTTGTTTGGCTGTAACTGTAGCATGACTGCCACAGGGCCAGGGGATCACATTGACCAGGTAGCTCAGTTGGTAAGAGAGACAGTATAACCATGGAGGAATAGGGTTCGAATCTTAGTCCGACCCCATTGAATTTTTAGACTCACAACACTCTTTTTCAATTTTGTTTGTTTATTTCAACGTAACAATTTATTGTGAAGAAAAAATTATGTATAGAAAAAAGTTGTAACCAACAATAAACTTCACAGCTAACAAAATGTTTCTGTTGGTATTACAGGTAATTTTAGTATTTGTACTTTTGTAGTTACGTGTCAAAACCCAATTAAAGAACAATCAAAGTTGCAAACGTCATTTATTATAGGAAACATTATTATTTACCAATGCCTGCCGTATACAATGATAAGATATGTTGTATAGACAATAATTTGTGTAATTTTTTTAAACTTTATAAACAAACAGGCAATATCATCCTTTGGATATGTCCTCTGTAATAAAAAACACTACACTAGTAAGCCATTACTAACACGACACTTAACCAATCCTCCTGTTCATCTTGTCATAATAGCAAAGTAAAGGAACAATGTAACAAAAACATAGCCGATTGATTCTATTCAAAAAACATTTTATTTTTAAGACATGTATAATGAATCAACAAACAACAATATGAAATATTTCAAACATCACAGTCGTTATAGATGTTATATGATAAATCAGTAAATTATATGTAGTTCAGACAGTTCTTCCCCATGAGATCATCTATGCAATTATTTATACAATTACTAAAACATCAAAAATATTTATGTGGCTTCAAGTCAAATTTGTGCTATACCATTGTATTAGAACATTTGTGTTTGTAACATAGTGTGCTTTTCTGTAAAACTAGCACACTACAATAACCACAAATAGAAGTTTTTTCCTATTTCATGCATTCTTTTGTCCATTATGAAGATTCAATGAAGTAAGACTAGTAAAATGACCACATTAGGGCAAAGAATGTACTACATTTTCAAATGAGGTATACCTACCGTCTCTTTCAACATTCAGAAAGATATATTTCTATATTTGGAAATGTCACATATGTGTGAATATGTTATGTGTATACTGTCAGTTAACCTATTCTGTGTAAATCTATTGACTATTTGTCTGAATTACAGCTTTATCATGTTGTTGGAATTCATGTATCTTCACATTGTCAAGATTATATATATCATACAAGAGGCCCATGGGCCTTAACGGTCACCTGATATATTTATACAGAGAGTTGATTTTGTTTTTAACATGAACAGAAATATTATTCAAAGTGACAAAAAACAATAAAACCACCTTACTCAATATCTAGCATACAGATTTCAGACTAAAAAGGATTTGAAACTAGCACCTCCAGCCCTTGGGGGTAGGGCTGGCTCAAAATTTTCAAAGTATCAAACTGTCAATTCAAGGTTATAATTCCAATCAAGTTATTAACATGTAATATTCAAAGTATCA